AACATTTAGAACTAATTTTAAAAGATGCATGCATTTACTGTTCTTATAGAACCTTTAGTGCAGTGGTTCTCAACCTTCCTCATTCCGTGACCCTTTCACACAATTCCTCATGTTGTGATGACCCCCCAACCATAAAACTATTTTCGTTGCTACTTCATAACTGTAATTTTGCTACTGTTACGAATTGGGCAACCCCTGTGAAAGGTCGTTCGACCCCCAAAGAGGTTGCCACTCACAGGTTGAGAACTGCTGGTTTAAGCAAAGAGTATCTATGAAAGTTCTAAGGAGAGCAAATAGAGCTGTGTGAATTTTATGAGGAGCATATGACCTTTATTATGAAGAAAGACAGGCATACTTGATTTTTGAAACTCTTGGTACATAATTCTTAGATGGCAGTAATTTAGAATTGGCCACGTTTCAGATGCTACGTTTATAAGAGAAGCCTCCTTGACTTCGGGCATTGTGTTTACTTTGCTGTCAACCTCCAGTTCATTTTACTTATGCTTCCCCCCTAGGTTTTTCGTTGGAATATACGCTGCACATTTATGGCGATTCTGAGCGTGAGGGCAGACTTCTGCCAGGCTCAGCACAGCATTTTCGCTGACAAGTGAGCTTGGGGGTTCCATGTGCCATAATTAACTTTGCCTTGAAGACTCTGGACACCGAGACTGGCCTCAGAAATAGTTGGCTTTTTCTTTTAATTGCAAGCATATTTCTTTAATGACTCCAGTAAAATTAAGCTTCAAGTAAACAAAAGTGGAAAGTGACCTACACTTTTAACTTGTCTCACTAGTGCCTAAATGTAGTAACGGCTGCTTACATTTTGTATGTGGTTGGATTTTTTTGGAGTCCGAAGGTATCCATCTACAGTCATTGAGGCCCAAGTTGAATTTGGACTCGAGTGGATTCAAAATACTTCTGCTTATCTTGAAGAGAGAAGCTTCTTAAGGAACAAACAAGTTGAATAGAGAAAACACTGATTGATAATAGGCATTCTAGTGGTCTTTTTAATGTTTTCTGCTGTGAAACATTTCAAGATTTATTGATTTTTTTTTTTCCCTTCCCCATTTTTCCTGCCACACTCTTACACCCACCCACTCGCGGGCGTGCGCGTGCACGCACGCTCACTTTTTATTTGCCATAATGAACCGTCCAGCCCCAGTGGAGATCTCCTATGAGAATATGCGTTTTCTGATAACTCACAACCCTACCAATGCTACCCTCAACAAGTTCACAGAGGTAAGATTGTTGTTTGGTCTACTGTCTGGATTGATTTGTAGGAAAAGAGTCTTTATAAAAATTAACACCATTCTAAAGAAATCTCTTAAAGCCATTTACTTCTGTGATTGGCTCTGGCTATGGGTTTGGCTATGCTAGGGTTCCTCGGTTGAATTGGGTGGAATTGTTTACCACAAATTTTTAAAATAACATTTAAAATGCCATGGATTTTCTTGCATCCTCTCTGCATTTGCCAGTACGTCTTGTGTTATACTTTAAAATAATGGGAATATTGATGGGACAGTTTGTATTGGGTACTATGCATGACAAGCAATGTTTTGCATTATTTACTTCTCACAGTAATCCTATGAAGTATAGCTATCCCTGTTCTCTCCCTCTTACAGCCGAGGCAGCTAAACAGTAAGCAATAGAACTGGGTGGGATACTTAAACTAGGTAGGACACTAAAGCCCATGTCTGACCTCAGATGTTTCAAGTATTCTTGGAGTGAAGAGCTACCCCAGAACCATGTAGGACCAGCAGTCTTCATATAGATAGATATATTTCAGTAACTTAGAAAAGAAGAGGTGTTAAGTAACCTAAAGTGTGATTTTAGGTTGTGATTGATTCTTTTGCTTCATTTATAGAGTAGACTTTAAGAGTATTGAATTCTAAGCCTACTCTAGTTTTACAGATGACAAAACAGGCTGAAAGCGATTTCGACTTGGCTTAAGGTTACAAATACCATAAAAAGTTCTACCATGATCTTTGCAATAAACAGTTACTATGGAGTTCATTAAGAATGGGGATTTTAGTTGTGTTTTAAAAATTCTTTTCTAGCATAAGAATGGTTTTCTGTGAAAAACAAAATGCTCTATTAAAATAACTTTACTCTTTTAGATACCTAAGTGATAGTCACTTCTTGCAGGATATCACTGCTCCTGTTTAATGTATACTTATAATTCCCTAAGCTTCTTAACTTGGTGTACACAGTGTCCAAGTTGATTCCAGGCCTGTATGCCCTCAGGTTGTTCAGTCACCTTTAAGCCTGGCTGAATTATGTGTTACTATTTTCAGTCTCTGGATTTCCTTGGCCCATCGACTTGCAAAGTGGCAAAGGCCCCTGTCTCATAACTATGAAAAGATATTGGTAGCCCCTCTAAAATAGGTAGTCCCTGTGGAAAGGGTTTTAAAGGAGCAACACTCTGGGTCTTTGTGTGTGTGTGAGCTAGTTTTTTACATATAATTCTATTTCCCCCCTCTTAATTTCAAAATTTATTTAAGAGACATTACCTGTTCGTTACATAAAAATCTGAACTAAAAAGGCAGTTAAAAAACACCTGACTGTTAACACCTGGTTTCCAGATGACGTGTGTGTGTATGTGAGTGTGTGAGAGACACACACACTTAGATACATATACGTATCTAAGTATAGACAGGGCTATTATGTACATTAAACAAACAGATCTCCCCCATTTCCTTAGTATTTTAAAATA